CCTATGTGCACTGACGAGGTCAATGGCAGATTCACCAGTATCATAGTACAGCTCTCCTTAAACCACCTAGGGATGTGCTAAATTGATAATTAATAAAGTAAATAAATGACCCAAAGACATTTGAATATCAGTATAGATGAATAAATATATCTATATATAAATTGTGATGAAAGAAGTGTCCAACCTAACACTTAATGTGAATCAATTAATGTGAACCAGTGAAATAAATGCATAATGAAAATCGCTGATATTGAAATAAAGTGAGAAATATCCACACAGTAAATTAAACTAACAGTCCAGTCCTTAATCGTGGAAGTGTGAAAGATTTTGTCAGTTAGACCATCAGAGGACCTACTCCCAGATCCAATAAAGTGCAGATATAATAGGCCTGTGTCAAAAGTCACTCCGTGTTCCAAAATATAGTGCTCCTCCGTGTATCCAAACACAGCCCCTCAGTGGCTATGCAGTCACCAGAGCCCCCGACTGTCAAAAACAGTCAACAAAGCATTTTGAGAAAATCAAGGGAAAAACTCAGCGTCTTTCCTCCTCGTAATTTCCTCCATCCACAGCGCTCATCCCTGGTAGTCATTCATATTAAAGAGGCAAATATAACCTTCATGGTGCAGAATTAAAGTTTAATTCAAATAAAAACAAAGACTAACGTTTAAGAAATACAACAGCCGGCCGGCAACAATGTAAAAATCAGTCTCCTCAGAACGAAGAGTGTGACGTCAGAAAGACCCGCCCTAACGCGTTTCGTCCCTGGACCAGGAAATATGCAATGACTGGATACACCTGTAGAGAGAAGCCGCTCGACTAGTGCAATATATCGAGTAACTAAACGCTTTAGGGGCGGGCCTTTCTTAATTAGGGTTGGGTTGGACACTTATTTCATCACGATTTATATATAGATATATTTATTAATCTATACTGATATTCAATTTTCTTTGGACCATTTATTTATTTACTTATTAATGATCTATTTAGCACATCACTAGAAGGTTTTTAGCGCTGTACTACGATACCGGTGATTGATTGAAGCATAACAGCCTTTGTGTAGCAGCTTTTTACCTTTTGATGTTATTTAGTCCCATTAGCGCAGATTAATTTATCACAATGGGAGATTCAGCCAGCAGGTCCAAGATGTCATTGAAGAAAAACAATAAAGTGTAAGGGATAGCATCAGGCATCACCGTTTCAGGAACCCCCGGACTCTAATGTTAGCGTGTTGTCCCCTGTTGTCCAAGTCTTCTAAATACCTCTGCATGTCGATCAGATGGTGTACTTTACAATCCTGTTGAGAATGCAGCCTCTTAATTTCCTCCTCACGTTTGTGGTTTGCACGTTCTACTTCATGAACCCTATATCTTAAATATCTTTAAGCATCTCTGCAACCGCACAACGGAGGGTATCCTTGACGTCAGACACCACAGAATTGAGCTCTGATCACGTCAGTAGCTGCTGGAGGTAAGAAAAGAGATTGGTGTCAGAAAAATCTGGGTTGCTTGTGTTGATGGCTTCATTGCGGTAAGAAGCCGGCGCCATATTGGAAGATGCCGCGTCGGAAGCATCAGGCCCCTGTGTCCGGAAAAGTTCGGGTAACTGCTCGTTCAGCTGTGTACCAGAAGCAGCAGCCGACTTCGTCGGCAGCTACGGTTTGCCAATCTTCCCCATGGTAGCGGTGGGAAGAACAAGTATAGCACCGTATGGGTCTCGGTTAGCAGAAGCTCATCTAGAAAGCAGCCACCAGCCTCACGATGCAAACCACGCCCCCGATCGGTTGCTATTAAGGTCTAATACTGTCAACTTGAAATGCATTGGATGGAGCTCGCTGGCTCTGGTTAATCTGCTCTCATTTACCAGGGAGCCTCAGCATGGGAAGTCAGGAAGTAGAAGATATAATTATGTGTACTATAAGCCACTGAGCCATTTACTTGGATGCATGTCAGCATTAAAAAAGTTTTTCAGATTTTTTTGTATCTGTAAACTCCAATGAGTTAAGCTGCCCCAGTTTATACAACTGTTAAGCTCTGATACATGGGTAGTGCCTGAGCCCCTGAAACACACTGGCTATTTTATCTCCTGTTACCCTATTGTGAATTATATCCCAGCTCCTGATATTTGTTGCAGATGGATGACTTCAGGGAGTAGCGGAGTAGTCTGTCTCTATCGGTCTGTGGGAATTGAAACCCCAATTCCCGTTCCCAATGGTCAATGAAGTACAGTGGGAGTTCTAGGTCGGTGTTAAGGGCCAGCTGGTAACAAAGGGAGAGTGTTTTGGCTATCGGTCCTGTATCAGCACAAGTTTGTTCAAAGGTGGAGAGATTCCGTGAGTAGGTTTGGGGGTGCGGGAGGGATGACAGGAAGTGTGTGAGTTGTAGACATCATGTCCCCAGGTTCATGAGGTCGGGATCAGAAGATTGGGCACCCAGGGCCTGCCAAGATGGACCATTTAAAAAATGCATCACTCTGAATTTGCCCCCGGCCAGAAGACGACGGAAACGTCCGTCCTCTAGACCTGGGGGGAACCCGGGGTTCCTATGATCGGTTGCATGGGGGAAGGCTGAATGGACAATTTCGCCCGATCGAATGCCCGACTGGACACCTGCCATGTGGATCCCACCGTCGGGTGGGATCGGGTGGATCTAGGGATAGGCCCGGTGCACCACAGCAAGGCTGGTAGAGGAATTTCAATCGCGGATTGTTCTAGAGCGATCCACGGCTTGGAATCTCCATGGCGGCACCAGTCTATCACTCGGGACAAGTGAGCGGCTATGTAATAAAGGTGGAAGTCGGGTAGAGCTAAGCCTCCCGCTGCCTTTGGGTGCCGTAAGATCGGCAGCCGTAGTCAGGGAACTCTGCCTGCCCATATAAATTGAGACACCATCGTCTGCAGGGAGCGAAAGAAGGTGCGTGGAATCAGTATCGGGAGGGCTTGGAAGGGGTATAGGAGACGTGGAAGGATGTTTTGCTTGACTATGTTGCATCGCCCTGTCCAAGAGAATGTGGAGCGTGACCAACCTTGAAGATCCGTCCTAATCTTTTGCAGTAACGGGGGGAAGTTTAAGCTGTATACGTCCGCCAAGTTGCGCGGTATAAGAACCCCTGGGTATTTAAGCGATGTGGAAGACCACCGGTATGGAAACTTTTGCGAGAGTCGTGACAGCATGGGGGGTGGGATTGTTAGATTCAGGGCTACCGACTTCTGAGTGTTAATGTGGTAGTTAGATACGTCACCATAGTCTTGCAGCGCCGCCAGTAAGTTATGTATGGTAATGTCCGGAGCCGTTAAAAAAAATAGTAAGTCGTCGGCGAATGCCGCAACCTTGTGTGTAGTCCCCCCAGGGGGGGAAGAAGGGGTCAATGCAGGAAAATCAGGGCTCCGCAGAGTTGGGACGGTCTGTCGGTCTCTGGGCCGGAGGCGCGCCGGAAGATGACCGAGCAGGACGTCTAGCCCGGCGTGGTTTTGGAGACAACGGGGATTCATCGGGTAGGTGTGGAAGCCAGTCCGGTAGTCGAGGTGGGGACATCTGGAGTAGCTTGCAGAGGCCTGGAACATCTTCCGGGGAGCGGACCGTGAAGGAGGCACCTCCCTTGCGAACATGTAGGCGGATTGGATATCCCCATCTATAGGAGGCTCCTGCCTGGAGGATCAGAGAGAGGAGAGGCCGCAGCAGGGCCCGGCGCCGGAGGGTATTGCACGAGAGATCTGGCATCACCTGCAGGGCCGACCCGTCAAACTCCACCGGTTTTTTCAGCCAGGCCTGGCGTAGAATGTCCTCTTTCATGGGGTATTGTTGGATGCGGTAGACAACGTCTCTCGGGCGCGACGCTTCCGTAGATGGCGGGCCGAGGGTGCAGTGTACCCTGTCCAGTAAGATGGATTCCGGGGGTGTATCGGGGAGTAGTGAGCCAAATATGGCCTGCACCGTGGAACGAAGGTCTGCCGGGTTTGTAGCCTCCGGCAGGCCCCGTATTCTCACATTCTGCCGATGGTTGCGGTCCTCGAGGTCCTCCATTCGCAGTTGGAGGGCCGCAATGTGCGGTGACGTCTCCGGATGAGCGTGCTCCAAGGCCAGAACCCTGTTTTCCAGGGCCGCACACGTGGTGGTCACCGCGGATACTTCCGTCGATACCGTCTGGCTCTCCTGTCGCATCTTAGACATGTCTCGCTGAAGAGCCGCCTCCAGTCTAGTGACCAGGGCCGCAAAATCTTCCTTGGTGGGTAGGTAGTTCAGCAAGGCCCGGAACTCCTGCGGGACGTCAGACGGTTGCTTGCGAGAAGTGTAAGAGTCCGCGTCCGTGGAGTCGGAGTCGTATATCTGGGGTGAGTGTGTTCCGGACCGGAGTTCACTCGGTGTGGGGGAGCGAGACAGGGCAACGTCTCTAGGTGTGCGCAGGAGACGGGGCTCGGACGCCATGATGGATTGGTCTTGGCCTCGGGGCCTGGTGCGTGTCGAGGTGAAAAATTCCTGCATTGAGGGGGTTCCCCGCTGTGAAGCTTGTTTGTCTTCTTTGCTGCGTTTGGACATCTTGTGTGACCCAACTTAGAAGGGTATAAGTCGGTATAAGTGGAATATAAGGATGAAACCCACGGAGCTCGATGCGTTTGCTTCTTACTCCGCCATGAGCAGGACACGCCCCCAAGATCCATCTCTTGTTACTCTGGTAATACACAAAGTATTCTGACAATACATTGGGGTACAGGAAATAAAGTACTGGTAGTAGTTCCTACCTTCAAGAGGAACTTTTCAACAGTGATACAGAGAAATAAAAACACCTTTAGGAGTGCAGTCGCTAACTAGAAGGCTGTTACAGTTTTATTGCTGTCTGTGTTCCTGTTGCAGATTTTCTCTCCCTTCCTGTCTGATAAAATAATTGTCATCAAGGTAAAAAGTTGAGAAATATATTTAACAGAGCCCCAAATAGCAGTAAAAAAGGGACAGGGGAATTTAATCCTGTCCCACTCTATCCAACACAAACAGAAAAGCTTAATAGAAGATGTACTTACGATGGAACATACTGCGCAATGATCTGCAGTGCCCTATGACAGGTGTTAAATGTCGCAACAATATCTATATAAGAGAAAAAAAACAGTTACATGAGGAATAACTAATTTACAGTATGTACTTCATTAAATACAAAGTGCTCACAAATGCCGGTTATGCTTGACAACTGTATAGGAATAGCACCCTATTTGTGGCTCTTTTTATGTATTCATTGACCAATGTACACAAAATCAAACTCACCTTCATTCTCATCTTCTGAATCTGAAATATTAACATCTCCTTCACTAATAACAACACGGGCTGTTAAGAAGAAAAAAAACATAGCTTATTTTGGCCACACGTTTACTTTACCGCCACTTCTGAACCAATCACATCCATACTAGAGCTGTTACAACTAATCGATTAAATCAATTATAAATTGATGAGAAAAGTTGGGAACAATTCTCATCATCGATTAGTTGATATTTAATTAGTTGACGCTGCTCTCCTCCTCGCTGGTGCTGGCTGCAGCGGTCTGTGTCTCTTTTAATCCCTGCTGCTCTCCCCTCCTGTATCGGCAGCAGGGACACATTTCACTGTAGCCGGCATCAGCGGGGAAGAGAGACGGCTGTGACTGCCTTCCCCTCTGCTACCCCACGTACCTCTGCAGCTGCCCCTGGTAATTCCGCTGCTACACATGTCCTTTTCTGCGCCGGCCCATTCCTATGCTCCCCCGACCACTCTGCCGCTCACCCGGCCCGTTCCTGCGCTCGGCGCGTCCCTTTGGTCACCTGGTGCGTTCTTCTGCCCCGCCCGTCCTCTGCCCCATCCCCATGCCTCTGCTGCATCTAGAGGCTGGGAGCTATACCCTGCCTGCTATTGGATATTTTCAAATGCAATAGCTAATAACAGGCTGGCTATTGCACCCACCCACTGCCTGCTGTCAATCAGCAGAGGAGGA